AACTACAGCAGTAAGATATGTGACGGTGGCAGTGTACTTTTACGATGAGGCAAAAAATCGCAAAAGACAACAGACTATGAATCGAAGTCAAGGCCGAAAAAAAGGCAGCAGCCCAGCAGACTACTAATTCGCCCTGTTCAAAATTACCCTTACTTCATCACACGATGTTTGTACTTCCAGTCCGCTGTAATGTAATTCGCCGAGACAACAGCAATCTCGTCCTCAATGGTCATTCGTTCCACGGAAAACGAGAAACCGGATGTGCGCGCAATCTGGCTTATTTCGGCAGTTAATTCAGACAAAACCATTGCACTACTTTCTTCAATCACCTAAAATTGAATAACAGTCTGAACACAACAGCCAGACGTGGATACAGTTTTTCTTATTTACGTGACATTCTCGCTTTAGATAACCCGTCCACATCCAAAACAAACAAAGACAAAACCCTCGTAAACAGAGATATTCAACGCATGGTTTAAGCTCTTTTCAGCTCAAACCTCCTGCCCGGAATATGACCAGAGTAGAGACCAAGTTTAAAGCGAAGATATCAGGAATAAGCGTTGCAATGGACTGGCGTTCTGGCCATCGATAATGCCGACCAATTGATAATGCTGTTTCAATCAAGCCGTATATCCCCTCACCCTGAAAAAAACACACACACATACACACAAACACCCGATTACCAGCACAAATTCAGAACTTTTGTTATGCCTTCACAAAAAACCTCGCTTCCCTCTATAACTGAGATGATATAACAGCCCATAGTCGTGAATCAATAAAACACACATGAAAAGTTGCCAGGTACGGACAAGCAATAAAAATCTTGAAAAAGCCGCTTCCAATTTTTCTAGCTCTAGTCAGCATGCGAACGTTAATTTCCACCTGACTGCCTCTCATCAATTCGCTCTATGCCTCCAAGAATTTATAGGAAATGATCAGGGTTGAAAAAATACTTGGAAAATGGTAGGAGGAAGCAAATCAGCAGCGCAGCAACGCACAATTGCATTACAAAATAATCGACGGTCGTTATCCGTAAATGATGTTTCAAACGAGGACTGCGCCGTTAGAGATCCGTGGAAGCTTGAAGATGGCGCTGGCGACTCCTGAAAATGCAGACCAAACGCATGAATTACATCAAAAAAAGTGAAAAATATCACGCCCAAGCTAATGAGGGGGAGGAGAGGAGGTGGG